CAGCAGCAGCAGCAGCAGCAGTAATGCTTGCCAAAGGGACAGTAAGAACTCCTCCGTGTGCGCAGTAAGGGATTGCCTGAGGCGAAGAAAATTTCATCTCCCTCGCAACAGCAACACGACGAGCTCCTGTTGCTAAGGCGTCATCTCGATGTGCTGCTGCTGCTGCTGCAGCGTCTTGCTGCTGTCCGCTGCTTTCCCGCTTCGAGTGGTGATGAGAGCGAGGGCGCGGTGTGCTGCTGCTCTCACCTTCTCCAACAACAGAAGAAGCCTGCTGCTGCTGCTGATGATGATGATGATGATGGTGATGATGATGATGATGATGATGATGATGATGATGATGCTGCTGCTGCTGTTGCTGCTGCTGCTGAGGTTGGCGGTGCGCAGCAGTATGCGGCAGAGGCGAGACGGAAGGCTCCCCCGCAGCAGCAGGAGCAGCAGGAGGAGGATTTTCTGCTGCAGCAGCAGCATCAACGCCCTTGCTGCTGGATCTGCTGCTGCTCCCAGAAGCAGCAGCGGCAGTACCAGCAGCAGCAGCAGCAGAGGGGAAGCGGACGGAGGGGCGGCGGCTGAGGTTTGCTGCTGCTGCTTTTCTATGTTTTCTTCGAGGCCTCAGTCGAGGCATCATAGTCATTACCTCCAAACTTTTGCAGCAACGCAGATCTAGCCATCGAATCCCTCGACGTAGCTGCTCGTAGATGCTCAACTCCTGCAGCAGCAGCAGTAGTAGTAGCAGCAGCAGGAAGAGTAGCAGCAGGAAAAGCAGCAGGAAGAGTAGCAGCAGTAGCAGCGGGAAAAGCAGCAGCAGCAGGAAAGGCGGCAGCAACATACACATGCATGTGAAACAGCAGCAACCGAGATAAAGACCTAACAAACTGCTGCAGTCACAGCAGCAGCAGCAGCAACAGCAGCAGCAAATGCAGCAGCAGCAGCACCAAATGCGATAGCAGCAAGAGAAGCAGCATTATCGAAAGCACCGAAACTTGAGGAAGAGCAGCACAGCAGCAGAACAAACATCGACGCAAGCAACAGCAGCATCAAAAGCAGCAGCAGCACCACCACCAAGACCCGCAGCAGCAGCAACAACAACAGCAGCAGCAACAACAACAGCAGCAGCAGCAGCGTTACCTGGCAGCTGACCCAGACCTGCACGAGTCTGCAGTAGTATGCTTGCTGCTCATTGAGGCGAGCTACTCTCCAGGAAGCGCTGTTGTGTGTTGCTGCAGCAGCAAGAAGACAGCAAAACCCTAATTCAATCTGGGCTTAGGGTTTAGGGTTTAGGGTTTAGGGTTTGGAGTTGGCTTGAAGTGCGCTGGGTAATTTGTTCGTCTACTCTTGTGCGACTTCGGTCTCTTCTATTTATCCTTTTGCCTTCGCTTGCTGCTGCTGCTGCTGACTCCTACTGCTGCTGCTGCTGCAGTTGCTGCTGCGGCTGTCTTGCCTGGTATTATTAGTTTTTCTAGAGGGACATTTTCTAGCCCCAGAGTCCCCATCCAATTTTCTAGAGACGGCTTCCCGCTGCTCTCTTCATGCTGCTGCTGCTGCTGCTGCTGCTGCTGGTCGTTCTGCTGCTGCTGCTGCTGGTTGTTCTGCTGCTGCTGCTGCTGTTGTTCTTCGGCGCCTTCTTCTGTTTCGGTTATGTCTGCGCAGCTGCTGTTGCCTCTGCTGCTGCAGCAGCTGCTGCTCCTGCTTCTGTTGATGCTCTCAGCGGCAGCAGCAGCTGCTGCTGCTGCTGCAGCACGAGAAGCCCTCCGAGTAGATGAACGCCGCAGCAGCAACTGCTGCGAGCGCCTGCTGCGCTGCCTGATGGTTTTGCTGCTGTGCGTTCGGCTGATTTGATTCCTTCTGCTGCTAGAGAGGCCCAGCAGCAGCAAATTCTTCTCCCCGCTGCTGTCGCTGCTGCTGCAGATGCTGCTGCTGCAGCAGCTACAAAACGTCTCCGCGGTCCCCTCCGAAGAAGCGCCCTCCCCATCGGCTGCAGCAGCAAACAATGCAGCAGCAAATAAATAAATTTTAAATGTATATTTAATTATTTACTAATTATGTATCCGGATAGGAAACAACGACGGCAACAGCAGCAGCAGCAACACCTCTCCCACCCCCCGCAGCAGCAGCAGATTCAGCAGCAAAAATAGCTGCAAATCCCATTGCCTCTGCAGCAGTCAAATACTTACAGCTAGCAGAAGCAGCAGCAAAAGCAGCAGCAGCAGCAAAAGCAGCAACAGCATCAGCATCAGCAGCAGCAATTACCTTGGGTGTCTCCGTGTGTTTGCGTGGAGCTGCGGTTGAGTGCGTCTGTTTGCGGCTCCAAGGAGGAGTCCCTGCTGCTGCTGTTGCTGCTGCTGCTGCTGCTGAGTTTGCTGCTCTCCCGCTGCAGCGACCTCCCCCCAGAGACAAACGACTCGAAAATAAGAGAAGCAATTTTATTAATAGGCATCAGCTGCCAATCCGAAGGAAAGAGGGACCAAACTGAAGTGCTATCTGCTGTTGTTGCTACTGTTCCTGCTGCTGCTTCTGCTGCTGCTTCTGCTGCTGCAGCTGCTGTTGTTGTTGCTGTCTCCCCTCCTTCTGCCTGAACAAGTGCTGCTCCTGCCTCGCGATCTGCCGGTCCGGCTGCGGCTGCTTCTGTTGCTGTTGCTGCTGCTGTTGCTGTTGCTGCTGCGGCTGCTGTTGCTGCTGCTGCAGAGTCTTGCGCCTCTGTGTCCTCAGCCTTCCGCAGCGGGTGGCAGTCAGCAGCAGCAACACCAGTAGCAGGAGCAGCAGCAACCTGTGCTGCTGCTGCCAGTCCTGCTGCTGCTGCTGCTGCGGGAGGCACTTCTAGCTGCTGCTCCCGAACTGCTGTTTCTTCTGCAGCGTATCTCTTAGCCGCCACATCTGCTGCTACACAGTCAGCAGCACCCGCTGCTGCTGTTACTGCATTTGCTTCTGCATTTGCTGCTGCATTTGCTGCTGTGCTACCTTCTGGGGAGGTGGGAGCTGCTGCTGCTGCAGCAGAGCGCCCCTCACTGCTATGAGGCCCCTGCCAGTGCTCCATCCTCTTCGATGCTTCTGCTGCTGCTGCTGAAGCAGCAGCAGCTGCTGCTACTGCGGAATGCTGTTGCACAACCCCCTATTACTGCTGCTGCTGCTGCTGCTGCTGCTGCTGCTGCTGCTTCTGTTGCTGTTGCCCTCCTTACCCGGTGCGAGCACTTTAAGTACCGCCGTCTTCCAATAGCTAGTACAAGCCACCGACTGCTGCTGCTGTTGCTGCTGCTGCTGTTGTTGCTGCTACGGTCAATTCAGGACTGCTGCAGCTGCTGCTGCTGGGCATCGTGCAGCGCTTGCTGCAGTTGTTGCTACTGCAATTCCTGCTGCTGCCGTTGCTGCTGCTACTCTGGACAGCTAAACTGCCTCGCATGCAGGGCTGGGCTGCAGCAACAGATGCTGCTGTTCCTGCTGCTGCTGCTGCTGCAAGCAGTCTGTGCTGCTGCTGCCGCTGCAGTTGTTGCTGTCCCTTGATCGGTTCAGCGAGACTGCTGCATCAGGCAGCACCACGTCTCCTGCTTCTGCTGCTGCTGCAGTTGCTGCACTTGCTGCAGCAGCTGCTCCTGCAGCAGTTCCTGTTGCTTCGGATGCTACAGGGGGAGCAGCGTTGCTGCTGCTGCTGCAGTGGGGCGCTGGATTTGCTTCAGCTCTGCCGCTATTAGCAGGGCCTTCCGATGGCTTTGTTGTTGCTTTTGTGCGTTTGCTGCAGCAGCTGCTGCTGTTACTGCTGCGGTTGTTGCTGCGGCTGCTGTTGCTCGCTTTAGCGACGCCTCCATAAGGCAAGTGATAAAGATAATTTGCAAGATCTCTATCAAGCGGCTGCAGCAGCAAGGCAACACCAGCAACAATGCCTCCCAGCAGCAGCAGCAGCAGCAACAGCAGCAACAGCAGCACAGACACCACAAGAGCAACTGGCAGCAAAATTAACGCCAATAAAATGCTGCACAATGAAGGCATTGCTGCAGCCCAATGCGCATGCCTAGATTGCTGCTGCAGCGCTGTTGCTCCTGCTGCTGCTGCTGCTGCTGTTGGTGCTGCTGCTGCTGAGGGAGCAAAGACCTATGGCTCTACTGAAAAGAAACGCCTCACTCTCCCCTCCAGCAGCAGCAGGTCCTATTTCAGTGCTGCTGCAGCGCTGCTGCTGCTGCTGCTGCTGCAGTACTGCGGCAGCTGCTGCTGCAGTGGTGCTGCAGTGCTGCTGCTGCTGCTGTTTCAGTCAAGGGTTCAGACAGCCTGAGCACGGAAGCAGCAGCAGCAGCAGCAGCGCGCATGTCGTGAGACACTTCTCATGAGAGGGAGCTGCAGCTGTTGCTGCTAATTCTGCAGCGGCTGCTTCTGTTGTTGCTGTTGCTGCTGTTGCTGCTGCTGCACCTGCTGCTGCAGTTCGATAGAAGACCTTCTGTCGCCAGTGCAGCAAGCGTACCTCTGTAGCAGCAGCTGCTGCTGCTATTGTTGCTGCTGCTCTCAGGGACACTTCGGTTAGTTGCTGCTGCTGCTGCTGTTGCTGGGTCAGTGCGGCCAGGGCAGTGGAGTCGAGGGTAGGCTGAAGCAGCTGCAGCAACTGCAGCAAGTGCTGCAGCAGGAACTGCAGCACCAGCTGCAGCAAGAGCAGCAGCAACAGGGCCTCCCTGGGCCCCTCATGAAAAGACAGCAAACTGCAGCAGGTAAGGCAAGGGAGCCTCTGTCTGCTGCTGCAGTAAAATTAAAATCTTATTTTGAGTTGACGCATCAACTGCTCATCGCAGCTTTCATTCTACTTCATTTTGCTGCTGCTGCTGTTGCTGCTGCTGCTGCTGCTGCTCGCCAGACTCAGCAGCAGCAGCAGCAGCAGCAGCAGCTGCGGCGGCGGCCCCCAGCATCGCAGCACATTCTCCTTTAGATTGAGGAGACAGTTTGTTTGTTGTTGCTTTATGCAAACTCTTTGCTTTTTTACAGAGGAAACAAAGAGACACAGCAGAAGCTGCAGCAAACTGCAGCAGCAACAACAGCAACCGCCGCTGCTGGTGCTGCAGTTGCTACTGCCCGACGCACAAACAGCTGCTGCAGCAAGAGAGACACACCAGAAGCACGTGCAGCAACGAAGACAGCGCCAACAGCAGCACTAGCCGCCGCCGCCGCCGCAGCAGCAGCAGCAACAGCAGCAGCAGCAGCAGTAGTAGTAGTAGTAATAGTAGCTGGGAGTAGATCCCACAGGGCCACAGCGAGGTCTCTCTGTTCTCAGCAGCAGCAGCAGCAGCAGCTGCAGCAGAAACAGCAGCAGAAACAGCAGCAGCAACAGTCGTTCAGTCGAACAGCATCAGCTGTCGGCTCACCTGGGGGCTGACCGGCGACAAAGTAGTAGCAGCAGCAGCAGCAACAGCAGCCACAGCACCAGCAACAGCATCAGTGGCAGCACCTACAAAACCAAATAACGTATACACACCTCCCTTGCTGCTGCTGCATTCGTGATATCAGCGTCAGCAGCGGCAGCCGCAGCAACGGCAACAGCAACTGCAGCAGCAACTGCAGCAGCAGCAGCAACAACAGCAGAGTGACTGAAGCGGAGAGCCCATAGCTTCAGCCGCTACGGTTGCCTGGACTTCGTATCGCTTCAGCAGCAACAGCAGCCGCAGCACCAGCAGGACGCGAAGGAGCAACAGCAGCAGCAACAGCAGCAGCAGCAGCAGCAACAGCAGCAGCAGCAAGAACAGGAAAAGATGACGAGTCTTTCTGGAGGCGACCTCATTCAGGTCATCGACTATGATGGGGAGATGACGTGAGGCTGCTTCGGTTTGCTGCTGCTGCTGCTGCTGCTTCTGCTGCTTTTGATGCTGTTGCTGCACATGCGCATGGCTTGTCCTGCTGCTCCGTAGCAGCTGGTTTGTTTGTCTGCTGCTGCTCCTGCTGCTTCCTTTTGTGTTGTTTCTCTTTTTTTAAACCAGCAGCAGCAGGAAGAGAGCTTGGTTTGTCCTGTTACAAGAGCAACCAGCGCAAGCAGTAGCAGCAGCAGCAGCAGCAGAAACAGCAGCAGCAGTAGCAGCAGCAGCTAAAGCGGCAGCAGCAGCTGCTGCATTATAGGTAGAATGTGCAGCAGAGGATTCTCTGACGTGATGGAGACGAAGACAGCAGCAGCAGCAGCAGCAGCAGATGCGTGTGTATGTTGTTGTTATTTTTCCTACGTGCGTCTGGTTTTCTTTCTTCTGTCCTTCATCTGTTTCTTTGTCTTGTTGCTGCTTTGCTGCTGCTGCTGTTGCTGCTGCTGCTGCTGCTGCTGTGTACGTACCCCTCAGGGCTGACCTTGAGAAGTGGATGCAGCAGCAAGGGCTCTCCGAGTTGGGTTTTGGATTTAACGTCATCACCATCTTGGGCTCGCAAAGCAGCGGAAAGAGTCCGTTGCTGCTGCTCTTGCTGCTGCTGCTGCTGCTGCTGCTGCTGCTCTTGCTGACGCTACCACTGTTGCTGCTGCTGCTGCTGCATTTGCCGCGAGGGCTGCTGCTTCTCCAACTGGTGCTGATGCTGCTTCTCGTGCTGCTGCTCCGATTGTTGCTGGCGTTGCATATACTTTTGCTCCAGCTGCTTCAACTGCTGCAGCTGCTTCAACTGCTGCAGCTGCTTCGACTGCAGCAGCTGCTTCAACTCCTGCTGCTGCTTCAACTGCTGCTGCTGCTGCTGCTGCTTGCAGGCACTTTGATGAATGCATTGTTTGGCTGCACATTTCAAGTGATGGACGCACAGCGCGGCTATTCGCAAACAACGAAGGGCTTGTGGGCGGGTCGCGACCACCTCCCCAGCAGCAGCAGCAGCAGCAGCGGAAGCAGCAGCAGCAGCAGCAGCAGCAGTATGGGTGTGAGCGGGGGCTTACCGCTGGAGCGCCCAGTGTTAATACTTGATGTGGAGGGCTTAGACTCCAGGGAGCGAGGAGAGCGAAGACAGACGTATGAAAATTTCTTTGCTTTGTTTGCTCTCGCTCTTGCAGATTGTCTGCTTGTTAATATTAGTTGTTCAGCTTTAGGCTGCCACACGGGTTCAGGCTTCGCGCTGCTGAAGACAGTTATGGAGGCTCATTTGGAGCTCTTCTTGCTGCAGGAGAAGTACGAATTCAAATAACACCTGTTGCTGCTGTTGCTGCTGCTGCTGCTGCTGCTGCTGTTGCGAGGAGGGCGAACCAGCATCCGTTTGCTGCTGAAGTCATATTCCTGCTCTTCTTGCTGCTGCTGCTGCCGATCTTGATGCTGCTTCTGCTGCTGCTGCTGATATGGATGGTGTTTCTGTTGCTGGTGATGTTCGTTATGCTGCTTATGTTGCTTCTTGCGCTGCTGATCTTGCTGCTGTTGCTGATGCTGTTGCTGCTGGCGTTGCTGCTGCCAATGTTGCTGCTCTTTCGTTGCTTTTGCTGCTGCTGTCGCTGCTGCTGCTGCTGCACTCCGTGCTTCTCTATATTTGCTGCTTCTGTTTTTTGTTCAGCGCCCCTAAAACGATTTTGCTGTTTGCAGTTCGCGACTGGGCGCCAAGCATCGTCCCTGAAGGTCTGCTGCTGCTGCTGTTGCTGTTGCTGCTGTTGCTGCTGCTTCTGCTGATGCTTCTGCGGCCGCTGGTGGCCCTGTGCTGCAGCAGCCGCTGCTGTTATTGCTGCTGCTGTCCTTGCTGCAGCTGAGTGTCTTGCTGCTGCTGCTGCTTTTGGTGTGAATGCTTTGCCTCGAGGGTTTAGGGTTTGTAAGGGTTTAGGGTTTGCCTGAAGAGGGTTTGGAGTTTGCTGCAGACGTAATGAAGGAGAAAATAATTAAAGACTACGTCAACAAGATCTGGAATGAAATCGATAAGGTACTGCTGCTGCTGCTGTTGCTGCTACTGTTGTTGCTGCTGCTGTTTTTGTTGATGGTGTTGCTGCTGCTTTGTTGTTGTTGCTTCTGCTGCCTTTGTTGCTGCTGTTATTGCTGTTGTGTTGCTACAGTCATTCTGTGCGCTCGTCTCCTGCTGTGTGGAGCCTTTAACATGAGCAGCAGCAACAGGAGTAGCAGCAACAGCAACAGGAGTAGCAGCAGCAGCAGCAGCAGCAGGGTGGTGTGTGTTGCGTTCTCAGCCTGAGGCAGCAGCAAATGCTACTGCTGCAGATTTCTTTACTGTTGAGGTGATGGGCTTAGCCCACAAACTCCTCGCCCCACAGGAATTCGAGAAAGACGTCATCCGCCTTAGAAACAGGTGCAGCAGCAGCAGCAGCAACGCATCAGATGCAGCAGCAGCAACAGCAGCAGCAGCAAATTTCGCAGCAGGAACAGCAGCAGCAGCAGCACCAGGAGCGTAGCGATTCTGGGTGTAGAACTGGGGGATATATCGAGCTGGTGGAGCGTATCCGTTTGCTACTGCTGCTGTTGCAGTTGCAGCAGCATCTGTTGCAGCTGTAGCTGCTGCTGCTGCTGCTGCTGCTGCATGAGTTTCTGCTGCTGAGTGTCTGCATGTACACCGCAGATGGGCGAGCGAATTTAGCCCCAAGTCATATACCCGCCGCATTCCAGCTGATGGATTCGGAGCATACGCAAAAAATATATGGGTAAGGAAACACTTCTGCTGCTGCTGCTGCTGTTACTGCTGCTGTTGCTGCTGCTGCTGCTGCAGTAGATCAGAATGTCGGAGTGGTGTTAGCAGGTGCCTGGGGATTTGGTAGGTTTAATGTACTGAAGTTATTTGTATGAAACGCTGGTGTTGCTGCTGCTGCGTGTGCTGCTGCTGCTGTTGGTGCTGCTGCTTTGGTGTTGTCGGTGGGTTTGCTGCTGCTGAATATAATGCTGCTGTCTGTTTTTTGCTGCTGCTGCAGGAGACAATAAAGCAACAGTCTCACTTGGACATCCCTAATCAGAAAGAGATGCTTGCAATATATCGCTGCCAGGACCTGAAGCAGCAGGCGCTGCATGCAGCAGCAACCCGTGCTGCGCTGCTGCAAAAGCAGTACATAAAACCAACAGCAGCAGATGCAGCAGCAATTAAGGGCGAAATGATTTCAATTGCAAAGGATGCCCTCGGTAGGTAGCTGCTGCTGCTGCTGCTGCTGCACTTTCTGCATAAATTCTTTCTTATCTTTTTCTTCTGTCTCCTATGTTTATCTTCTTGCCTTTGTTTGTTTATGTTTTGTTTGTGTTTGTTCTTATTTGTTGTTTGTTTGATTGTTGCCTCTTTCTTTCTTTGTCTTGCCTGGCATCGTCAACCTAGCCAGGGAGACTCTGTTGCTGCTTCTGCTGCTGCTGCTGCTGCTGCTGCCGCTGTCACTGCTGCGATTCCTGCTGCTGCTTTTGTTACTGCTGACGCTGCTGTTTCCTTTGCTGTTGCTGCTGCAGCACAGTACTTGTCGCAGGCCACGCGCTACCAGGAGAAGATTTGCAGCAGCGTGAAGGATGAACTCATCGAAGGGTCAGTTGCTGCTTCCTGTGCTGCTGCTGCTGCTTGTGCTGCTGGTGCTGTTGCTTGTGCTGATACTGCTTTCGTTGCTGCTCCTCGTGCTGCTGCTGCTGCTCTCCTAGCGATCATTGCCGTTGCTGCTGTGGGCGGCATCCCGTGCGTTGCTGCTTCTGCTGCTGCCTTCATGCTGCTGCTGCTGTTGCGTGTTGCTGCTGCTGCAGGCTCGTTAGCTTATTTAAGCCGATTGTGGAGGCGCAGCTGTCGGAGGCCCGCGAACGAATTGCAAACAAACACAAAGACGAACTCAGGTGCAGCACAAGCAGCAGCAGCAGCAGCACACGTTGCAGTAGGAGCACAAGCAGCAGCAGCAGCTAACGCGGCTGCTGCATCAGCAAAACTAGCAGCAGCACAACTGCCAAGGACTGCATCAGACTAGCTTCTTGCACTCTCACCACCGGCTGAAGTAGCAAGTAGAAGCACAAAACAAAAGCATTTCTGCTGCTGTTGCTGCTGCTGCTGCTGCTGGAACAGGGAGGCATATAGCCATTCTTCAAGGGACGCGACTGTACGTCTGACGGGAACTTTGAACAAAGAAAGCAGTAGCAGCAGCAGCAGCAAACCTTGCAGCAGCAGCAGCAGCAGTAGCAACAGCAGCAGCAGCAGCAGTAGCAACAGCAGCAAAAGACAACCGTCTCATAGTGCACACGGAGCATTAGCCGGAGCAGCAATTCGTGCATTGTTGCTGTTGCTGCTGCTGCTGCTACAGGGAAAGGGAGAGCCGATGCTAGAGGCCTGGGCTGTTTTCCGCAAGAGGAGGTCAGTCAATAGTGCACAGTCTGCTGCTGTTGCTGCTGCCGTTGCTGCTGCTGCTCCTGTTGCTGTTGCTGCTGCTGTAGTCGTGCTGCAGCGTTTCTGTATTAGGGGTGAAGATGCATGCGTGTGCTCCTCTCTCTGTTGCTGCTGCTGCTGCAGTGCTGCTGCTGTTGCTGCAGCAGAAACAGAGTTTCGGGAGTTCAGCGAGGGTTGCAGCATCTCGCTAGACGGCGGAGAGGAGCTAAGGTTTTGTGCTGCTGTCTTTGCTGCTTCTTTGCTTCGTGAGCTGGAACTAGGAAGAAGCTTATTGTCTGCTGCTGCAGTTTGTTTTTGTTTTTGTTTGGGGTTTGCTGCTGCGCTACTCTTCTCGCGGGTATATTTATTTTCTTGTCTTTGCTGCAGTTGTTGTCTTTGTGTTTTTGTCTCCTTTGTTTATATTGTATTTGCTTGCTGTCTTTGTTTATATCTCATCTCTGTCTTTTATATCATTTTGTCTCTGTCTCTTTTTATCTTTTCATCTGTCTGTTTATATTTTCTTCATTTTCTTTTGCGTCTGTCTTTGTTTTGCTTCTGTTGTTGTGTCTTTGCTTGTTCCTCTTTGTTTGTTGCTGCCTCCTTCTATATCTCTTTCTCTGTCATTGTTTGTTCTTCGGGTGTCACCCCCTTCTGCTGCTGCTGCGGCTGCTGCTGCTGCTGCTTCACCTGTTGCTGCTGCTGCATGCGGTGTGCATGTGGCAGAGGAGATGCAGCAGGAGACAAATACAATACGCGAGAAGCAGCAGACTGCCTTGGAACAAGCCATTTCGGTGCTTCTGCTGCTGCTGTTGCTGCTGCTACCGCCGCTGCTGCTCCTTCTGAGGATGCTGCTGTTGCTGTTGAACCTGCTGTTGCTGCTGAACCTAATGCTTCTGCTGCTGGACTTGCTGCTGTTGCTGCTGGAGCGGTATTTGTATATTAGAGGATTTTGTTGCTTATTGAAAATGATCGGGCGCCTGTTCTCTGTGCTGCTGCTGCTGCTGCTGCTGTTGCTGCTGCAGGAGAAATGTGATGAAGGTTTCGTAGGGTTGGACGCGCTCCTCACCGCTCGCGGTAAGACCAAAGAGGGTCTGATGCTGCTGATGCTGCTGCTGCTGCTGCAGGAGCAGCAAGGCAAGAAGTAACAACAGCATCAGCGGCTACGCTCAGTGCCTTGTGCTGCTGTACGAGCGTCTGCTGCAGCAGCGAGGCAGAGGCAACAGCACCGACAAAAACAACAGTTAGCAGCTGCAACAAAGAAACCCGTAGCAGCAGCAACAGCAGCAGCAGGTTGTACATGCGTTTTTGTTTGTTTTTCTTAGATTTTTCGCCGGAGAGTTTCTGGGAGCTGTGTAGGGGGCGTGCTGCAGCATCAGCAACTCTCTGTGCTGCTTATTTTGCTGCTGCTGCTAAAGGCCTCAGCAGCGACCCTGAGGAGGGCGACCCCGCAACAGCAGCAGCAGCAGCAACAGCAGCAGCTGCAGAGTTTGCTGTTCGCTGCCGAACTATCGCCTTGTGGCAGCTGCGGAAGAACCTCGAGAAACTCACAGGGTGTCTGCATATTTATATCATTGAGAGGTAATAAGTAAATGTATATAGATATATTTATACATATATATGTATATATATATATATATATATATGCTTACATATATATATGTATCTGGTGTCTGCATGTTTATATCCTTGACACGCAATCCTTTTGTTGACCCTCTTGTTCTCAATTTTCTTATATATATACATATATATATATATATATATGCATCTCTATGTGTGTATGTATAATAATATGTATGTATATATATATATGTGTGTGTGCATAAATATATACTATATATATGTATATGCATATATATATATATATATATATATTTATGTACATTATATATATATATATATACACACATTATATATATACATGCATACATAGGATACATGAATATTTTTGCGTTTATTTGTCGATGCCTCTGCCTTTCCGTGTATCTCTCTCTCTCTTTGCCTTTTATCTCTATATCTCTTTGTCTTTTATCTGTGTGGCTAGCTACACACAGATACACAGACAGGTGTACAGGTAGCTGCACAGCTAGCTGCACACAGGTACGCAGCTAGCTGCCAGCTAGCTGCGTGTATATGTTGTTCCTTTCGTCTTGTTTTTACTTTGTTTAGGTTTAATTCCTTCTTCTCCTTTGATGAAGAAGAACAGCCGCGCCGTTGGGAATTGCTGTCAGCAGAAACCCTCGACTCTCTCTTCTCAAAGGCAAAGACTCAGGCTTTATGTCCGCAAACCCTAAACCCTAAACCCTAACCCCCCGCTTCTAATACGGTGGTAGTAGTGGTGCTGCTGCTGCTGCTGCTTCTTGTGCTGCTGCTTCTTGTGCTGCTGCGCAGCAGCAGCACTTCGAACGCGGGCCTACAGCTGCGTACAAGGGGAAGAGGGTTTGAGATTTTAGGGTTTATGGTTTAGGGTTTAGGGTTTGGGGTTTGTTTTCAGTGCTGATACCGACGCTGCGGGAGGTGCAGCTGAGTCGGCTGAGTTTGCTGTCTTCAACTCTGGAGGACAAGGACCTGAAAGAAGGCCAGGAGGCAGAAGCAGGAGCAGCAGCGGCAGGAGCAGCAGCAGCAGGAGAGGAGGGTTTGAAGCACTCAATGCCTGCTTCTTTCTACAGGCCTTTGATAGACGCAATATCCGCTCAAAGTATTCAAAGAAAAGCTGTAGCGACGATGCAGCAGCAGTGTCGGGAGGCGCAGCTGCTGCAGCAGCGCTGCAGCAGCAGAGCTTCATGGAGGGCAGTTCCGCTGTGGGGTTGGGTGTTGCTGCTATGCCTTGGATGGGATGAGCTGGGTTTTGTTTTGTCGTTCATAAGCAGCAGCTGGGTGCTGCTGCTGCCTCTGCTGCTGCTGCTGCTGTTGCTTGCTGGTGCTGTATTCCTTACGGGGAAGCTTGATCTCGTTACAAACAGTGCCAAACATGCAGCGCAGCTGGTGCGGCTGCTGCTGCAGCCTTTTCTCTATGGATTGCTGAGGAGAGCAACAGATATGATGGAGGTGAGACAGCCCCTCACCCGTTAGCTTCCTTCTTCGAATACAGCTCATTCCTGTTGCTTCTCGTCGCTGCTGCTGCTGCTGCTCTGCTGATGCAGCCTAGTGGATTGGCGGGGCGAGGCATTTCGATTCCCCCGGCTCCAGCTGAGCCCAGGGCCCCTACAAAACCTCAAAAGTGCGTATGGCCTTTCTATGCCTAGCTAGCTAGCTATACACAGAATAGCTAGCTAGCTAGCAAGCTATACACTCGGTAGCTAGCTAGCATGCTATGCACTCGGTAGCTAGCTGGTTAGCTAGACACCTAATAGCTAGCTAGCTAGCTGACTGTGTAGCGGTTTAGGAAGGGTTTTGGGGTTTGCTGCAGGCAGCGAGACGAAATCGCCGAGCTGAAGGAGAAGATCGCTGAACACACACACTCCAAGTGAGGCACTCCACTGTTGCTGCTGCAACTGCTGCTGCAGCTGCAGCACAGCAGCAGCGTGAGCAGCTGGGCTGTTCGTTGCATTACTGTTTGTTGGTGTTGCTGCTGCTGCCGCTGCAGGAGCAGCAACTCGTGAGGGGTTTGCTTCGGAGGTGGTTTTTATTCCCTAAGCCAAATGGTGGCGCTGCAGTTTCTTTCTGCTGTTGCCTTTGGAATTTGTTTATATTTCTAAACTCAAAGACGCATAAATCCGCATGTATCTACACTCACAATTACCGTGAATGCATGCATGCATGCATGCATAGCCGCTCATGTTGCTTGCATGCAAAGGAGGTGGTGTTTGGCTTGTTTTGGGGCTGTTGCTCGAACCCAGCAGCAGAAGCAGCAGCTGCAGCAGCAGCAACAGCAGCTGCAGCAGCAACGGGGAGGCCGCCAAAGGAACATAGCACGGATTGTAGCTGCGCTTTCATCTGCACGTGGAATTCTCCATGCAGCTGCAATGCATGCAGTTTATCTGCATGCAATTCATCTGCATGCAGTTCGTCTGCATGCATTTCGTCGGCATGCAGAACAGCTGCATGCAGAGGAGCTGCATGCAGTTCAACTGCATGCAATGCATCTGCATGCAGAACAGCTGCATGCAGAACAGCTGCATGCAGTTCAACTGCATGCAATGCATCTGCATGCAATGCAGGTGCATGCAGAGCAGCTGCATTCAGAGCAGCTGCATTCAGAGCAGCTGCATGCAGAGCTCCCTACTGCGCTGAACGCCTGTTCCATTTTAACTTTCGCAGCAACGACGCTGGCGGTTGGGCGCTCGCGGGCCGAAGGCCATTTGAATATTTCACAGAATGTTGATTTGTTTTGTTTCGATGGTGCTGCTGTTGCTGCTGCTGCTCTTCCTGTAGGGGATGAGCCCTGCAAATCAGAATTTCTCTGCTTTATCTCCAGTGTACGTACTTACAGTCTGTTGAATAGATGAAAACGAAAACAGCAGACAAGGCACTGAAGAACTGCAGCGTTTGAAAACCCCAAATGTATGAATCGAGTTGCATGCAATAACATACACTCCAACGCCACTGCTTGTGCATGCGGCTGTCTCATTTTGTTTTCTTTTCCAGTTTTGTTTAACTAAGGTGGAGGCGATGTACAAAGAGCAATCCATCCCCCCACTTCCCGCGCTCCCAAAACCTGCATGATGCATGCATGCATGCAAATGTATGCATGCATGCATATTATGCATGCATACATCCATGCATATTTCAATTGCCTGCATGCATATTTCAAATGTATGCATGCATATTCTAAATACATGAACGCATGCATGCATGCATATTTCAAGTGTACGCATGCATGCATATTTCATATGCTTGCATGCATACATATTCTAACTGCATGCAGCATGCATATTCTAAATGCATGCATGCATATTCCAAAGGCCTGCATGGGCTTAGAGAGGAAGCGACTACAGTTGGGTGCATTCAGGTATTGATTTATCTGATTTGGGAGATGAAGACGGCAAACTTTGAAGAGAAGCGCTGCTCTTTAGAGAAAGGCTGTGCAGCTGCTTAGAGAAATATAAGTAGACGTATATATGTATATGCATATACATATATATATATATATATGCATATACATATATATATATATGCACATATTTACTTGTATCTACCTATCTATCTATCTATATCTATCTATCTATCTATATCTATATCTATCTATCTATAGCTATCTATCTATATCTATATCTATCTATATCTATCTATCTATATCTATCTATCTATCTATATCTATCTATCTATCTATCTATATCTATATCTATCTATCTATGTGTATCTATGTATATCTATCTATCTATGTGTATCTATCTATATCTATCTATATCTATCTATCTATCTATCTCTATCTATCTATGTCTATCTATCTATCTCTATCTATCTATGTGTCTATCTATATATCTATGTATCTCTATCTATCTATCTATCTATCTATCCATGCGTATATCTATATATGGCTGGTTTTCATATGGATATATGTACGTCTATCTGTTCAGCTATCTCCTCCATCCTCTCTCTCTGGCTATAATATATATATATAGTTATGTATTTGTTTATTTATTTATTTATTTATAATAGATATACTATATATATCAGCACTCAGTTGCGTTTCTGTTTTCTTCTCTTGTCTCTATGGGAGTATCCAGTCTTGCAGGTGTATTTAATTTAGAATATTTTTCTTTCTTTCTCCCTGTTAATCACCTTTGACAGTTCCTTTAAAATTGAAATTGAAGGCGTGAAGGAGTTTTTGTGTTGAATGCAGCGCAACGTTTGAATTCAATTATTTGCTTTCTATGTGATATCTCTAACAGAAAACCTTTTTGTTTCTTTCTGTTTCATAGGCAACTGCTCAACCGTCGCCTCTAGCAGCAGCAGCAGCGGCACAACACAATAAATACACCTTGCTGTGCACTGTCTTCGTCATCAAAGAGCTGCTGAATGTCTTATTACCAACAGCAAACAGAAGCACTTGCATGCGCTTGTATGCGCCTGCATGCAGACACGGCCCCTACAGAAATCCCTTTAAAAAATAACCCAGAGGGGGGTAGAGGGACCTGTGAGACACTTGTGTTGATTATAACCGTGTTCATCTTCGTCTTTATTCCAACTTCCCCCGGGTGTCTATTCAGCTCTACTGCTTCCCTTTGCCTTCATCAGGCGCAGGATGTCGCCTGCGGAGCAGCCTCCTGCATCAACAGAAGCAGCAGCAGCAGCATAAGAAATACAATAGCAGCGCAGGAGATGCAGCAGCAGCAGAAGCAGCACAAGAAATGCAACAGCAATGCAGCCAGCGAAAACCTTCTACCTGCTGCAGAGTTGTAGGTGTTGAACGCTAACGGCGAAGTCGCTGGAGCTGGAGTCTAATGCAAATAATAATAATAATTCAATTAAAAATATTATAAATAGTTACCTTTCAAGAAGATGAGCTGCAGCTGTGCATACACCCCAGAGAAGCCCCCAGCCTCGCACCAGCAGAACAGAGGCACTTGAAGCGACAGCGACAACAACAACCTCACACAAGTTATAAATCAGAGACAACAGCTGAAGACAGAGGGAATAGAAAAACCAAAAAGTTGCCATAAAAGCGACGCAGCATGCCCCCAAAACTCTCTGCAAAAACAAACGCATGCAACACCGAAAACAAACAATATGCATGCATGCGCATGCATGCGGCCCCGATGCAACAATCACGACACAAGCAGCAGCAGCGGTACATGGAACAGCAGAAGCAGTGCGCGCATCAGCAGCAATATGTGCATCAATACGGGCATCAGCAGCAGCAGCTGCTGCAGCTAGAGCAGCAGCATCTGTAGCGTGCAGAGGATATTGAAACACCGCAAGCACCTGCACACTGCAGCAACTGAATTTCATTCTTCATTTACTCAGGCGTATAGACAGCAACAGCACTTCTGCATACCTTCGGAAGCATGAAGACAGCCGCCATAACTTTGGCTGGGAAGCGACGGCTCCAACCTTGAGGTGTCGTCTTCGTCTTCTGCTGCTGCTGCTTCTGCATCTCCTTTTGCTGCTGTTCCTTTTGCTTCTGGTGTTCCTTTTGCCAGTGCTGTTTTTGCCACTGTTGCAGCTGCTCCTGCTGCTGCTGCTGTTGCAAGGGCTGTTGCAAAGCAGCGAGCGCTCTGGCGCATCCACTGAGGGCAAGCCGAGCTGCCGCTCCCACTCTACTTAGAAGCGAAAGAGGGTATGGGATCTCTGTTTCACGCAGCAGGGGGTTTAGCCTCTGCAGAAGAGCAGCACCACCCCTTTGCTGCAGCTTTTTCTCATGCTGCTGCTCTGCTGCAGCGGGCTCCGGTGACGGCTCTGCAGCAGCGATCAGCTGTAGGGTTCCCCGTTCAGGTTTTAAATATAAAACGCCGTCGCGAGCCATCAGGCGCTCACGAAGAAGAGTTTGAAATTGAACAACAGCAACGCGCTTTGAAGGAGGCTCCCGGTGCAAGGAGGCCCAGAGGTCGCATGCTAGAGCAGCAAAACACCAGTAACAGCAGCAGCAGCAGCAAAACAGCAGCAGCAGCAAAACAGCTGAGGCATCAGCTTGAGAGGTCTTGCTGTTGCCTCAAAAGAACTCAGGAAGCCTTTCCTCCTCCAGTCTGCAGCAGTTTGTCTCTTATAAGCAATCTTCCCCACTACACACCCCGCTGGCCTCACCTGTAGCGAGTGCTTCTTCAGGTGTCAGTGCAACGCTCCCTTCTTCATATATTTGTTGCCTCTCTTTCTTCTGCTGCTCTTCCCTCCAAGCTGCAGCCGCAGCCTTCGTGTAGAAGAAATCTTTTAAGTGGCGCATCATCGCTGTGCTGACGCATCCCAGCTGTGCTGCTGTCTGTACAGCCGCCCTTCGAGAAGAAAGCGTTTTAAGTGCAGTCCGGGACTCCGCTGCTGCAACTGATGCCTCGCTGCTCTCCAGCAAAGAAGTTGAGAGATGCAAAAGTTTAGCAAGTGATGCAGAGGCAAACACCAGAGTGCTGTTGCTGCCATCGACCTCCCGAGACACCCCAGAGGACAACAAATGCAGGAAAACGGTGCAGCGGCAGCACAGGCTACTGAACACCCACAACGACCACCCCAGAGTCTGCCACCAGCACACAGCAGCCACTTCATGAACTCCCTGAAATAACAGAAACATAAACTGCAAACAAATGCGGAAAAGGGGGCCCAGCAGCTGAACCCGCGCTGTCTGCTGTCGTCCCGGCCCACCAGCTGTCGGCTGTACACCCCATTCATCATCCTTCTTCTCTTCTCTAGCATGAGACAACTGCTGCATTTTTGCATTGAATTCGTTCGTCGTGCCGCCACAGCGGCCCACTACAGGAAGGCGTTTGGCGTCCTTTGCTGCTAAAAGAAATGCATTTGTCTTACCTAAGAGCTGCTGCTGAAATTCGGTCAAGTCCGGGGAACTGGAGAGTGGCGAAGTATCACCCAGAGCCCTCAGGTTCCCAGGAGCTGCGGTGTCTGGACAGAATTGAACTACTGAGGTTCTAGAGGGAGGAACAGAGCCGGCAACTGCTGCGTGGTGGAAGCATTTGCTTTCTGAAATATGTCTTCTTTTTCGACGTGGAGGAGCGCAGTGTTGTTGCAGCTGAGAATAAGAAGCTTCTTCTTGCTGTTGAGGCGCCTCCTCTGTCGCTACAAGCAGCGGCTGCCTGGGAAACAGAGGGGCTGAGATGCGGCCGGCATCTCGTAAACTACATGCGCGAGAAGGCGGGATCGGAGCAGCCACAGTGGGTTTGCCAATAGGCAGCATCACGGAGAAGAAATAATGAATCCTGGGGCTGGATATCGCCCTGCTGTTGCCCTTGTGCGCTGGCAGTAGCTGCGCCAGCAGCACTTAGCTGAGAGCAGAAAAGTAAAACTACAGCCGCCAGGCGCCTCAGGAGGAGGCACCAGAAACGGGATGAAGATTCCGTCAGCAGGGGACATTGATCAAGAAGCTGCGGAAAGGGAGGAAGGTGAGAGGTTGCGCGAATTCATATTCAGATTCACGTTCAGGTTTAAATGCTCTGAGCGACAAAGAGAAACCTTGAAACAACAGCATGGCGTTCACTGCCTCGATATAGCCAAGAAGCAGTCAATGAATGAATGGGCTTCAGCTAGTCATTAGCATAGGAATTCCTCAAGAAAATAATGTGATGATTCAATTGTCGCGTTTGATCTCGCTGTCGATGAAGTGAGTGCCCACGACCGCTGCACTGGTACTGGAAGGCGCGGAGGAACAGCATGCAGTGAAACTTGCAGTTTGAAAAAATCAAGTATTTATTGGTTTTAATTGAAAAGAGGAAATAAAAGAATTAGAAAACAGTCGCCATATTTCGCTCAATGTAGCAGCTGCCGAGTCCGACGGCCGTGCTCGCATTCCACGTTGACGGCCCCACAATGTAGGAAGGCTGAGACGTTGTTTCCTCAAAAAAAGACATTAACTACTTTTGAAATACGCGTATTAAGGGGGTAATGAAGAATATTTATAATACGGAGCTGAATTTGGGCTGCTAGTCATGAGCGCGATCCAACGGGCGGTCGCACCGGCGTTTGCATCAAAACAAAATCAACGCTGGGGAGGAAAGTAAGTGAAGAGGAACGAAAGAGAGAACAATATGCCGCACTTATTGTTGCATATTTTGCATAGACGTGTAGAAGGAATGCACAGCAGATGCGCCACTAAGCTTTGCGGTGTACAGGTTTCCGTGTTTGAAATCAACGTCTATGCGAGGCAGCCAACCAAGTCTAACATGCTAAACCATAAGCCCTAAACCCTAATCAATCATCTTGTACTCCCCTTTGTCGAAACGCCAATAACAAGGAGTTGAACGGATCAAAGGCGCCACTGCCGGTGACTACGAAGAACACGAAATCGGCAAAATGACAGGCTGCAAATTTTTGACAGTAAGATACCTCCTTTCCATTATCAACCCAACGAACGACAGAAGAAGACACACAAGATCTGAGGCCGATGCCTTGTTAAAAGCTGCCCCTTTAAGCTGAGCTACAGGCCATTGCTTCCTGCGATGGCGTCGCCTGAGACTGTGAGCTCCAGCCTCACTTTTGAAGGGCAGCATCATTATAACCCGTTTCGTTCCATTACAGCCTGTAGATAAAGTGGTACGAAGAACTATCGTGGCCCATGCCTCGCATTTGCGCTACATATATATATATATATAT